AATGTTAGAAAAAATAAAATTATAGTGTTTTAATTAATTTATGATAACTGTGAAAGTATTAGAAGATTAAAATAATAAAATACTCAACATCAATGATCAGTTGTTATTTTTACTATTATAAAATTGCATTTTACATTGTCCCGATTGTTTACAATTATTAGTATTTACCCAACTTTACGTTTTATTATTTTTATTTTCATAAATATTTTTTTATATATTATACCACAATTTATTAATTTTTATAATAAATAATATAATACATAACTGTCTTCTTAAATAGCTATTTTTAGTTTATCTTGAAACTATTTCATAACTTGACAACAGTTTTTCAAAGATATGCCAAGGGTCCACGTTTACACTATACAATTGAAAACGAATATTAAAAAGGTTTTCTCATCAAAATGGTTGAAAATCATTGATAAGAAACTATAGGTATTTACAGGTTATTACAGGTTCGTCCTTTCTGAGATGAATTAAAAGTTTTTCTTTTGACCTTTTGATCGACAATATAAATTTAAAAAGAAAACCGTCAAGAATAAAAATACACGCACATAAAAATGATTTGTATCATASAATAAATGATCAAAGATTTCAACTTTATAGAGGATGCAAAAGTTCTATTGTGTGTGTTAGTGATAGAGGGAGTGAAAGAGAGTAGGTAATCGAATTTATACTAAAAATATTTATTTTTTTTAATATTTTAATTTTAAAAATTAAACTCAACTCGAAATTCAGTTTTTTAGTAAAGGAAATGTTGAATAACAAATGTACAGATTTATAAGTACTCGTATTATATTAATAATAGCTATTTGCTGAATTACGCTAACAAATTATATATTATAATAATTCAGGAAATATAAAATGTTATATTGTATAAATTACACGCAATCACCCTATAAAAATAACCATCAAAAGCACATAGTATAAAACCTAAAAAAAAGTAAAGAATTAGTGTGATGCAGATGCAACATGTGCAACAAGTATAATAAGTACACTTTGTATTATTACTGTAGCATAATAAAAAAATATTATGTTTTATTTAGCATAGATTTTAATTGCATTCTCATTTAGTGATCATTACTTTTAATGTTGTTGATTAATTAGTGCATACATCTGGTACCTAATAAAATGTATTTTGTTCAGAAAGTGCCCCAATTCATATCTAACTCATAATTCTTTATCGATATTCAGATTAATGATTTTTGTAATATACACATTAAATTTGTGTGCCAATCAGATATTAATACTATAAATCAATTTTATTTTACAGCTTAAACTTTATAATCAAAATGTAATTACCTCGAAGCTAATTTTTCCAGTTTGATTTCTCTTGATTGTATTGAACACATATTGGGCATATTGTGAGGCATCTAGAACAAACGTTGTACATAAATAATCTCAACTTAATCAGTTTGGAAAATATAGRTATTTTAAATAGTATTAAATACATAAGAGCATATCATACAGTTGACGATTGATTCAAATATCAAAGTTCAAAATAAAATCACACAATTTAATTGTAAAWCTAATGCACTTTTTTGTCTACTTATGATCTGAAAAATGGGTTAACAATTTAAAATTCCGATGTTAAATATCATCTACTCAATTGTATGATAATTAATGTGAATATATAATGTATGTATAAGTGATTTAAATATCAGATCAATAGATTCCTGATGGAATTTAATGTGATTTAATATGTTATATTTATTTAGGGTCAATTATATAGTTTGTTTAAATAATAAATATGTAAAGCGTAGAAATTTAAGTTTTTAGATACATTTATATGGAGCTTCTGTGAAAAAATGATCTAAATTGTATTTAAATAAAATATTATTCATTGTCCATACAATAAACGTCATATATTTATAAATGTTCTATTTTCTCCTTACAATCATTATCTGTTATTWAACGCTCACTTATACATGCTTGTAAATATATTGTATCGTAAAAAAAAATTACTAAAATATATTTTTTTTTAAATATACATTAATTTATTTACTAACCACCTTGAGGAAAAAACTGTGAAAATATGTGTTTGAAT